CCCCTTGCCTAGCCCCTCCCCCACCGACATCCCGAACCCCTGTGCCCCCTTATCGCCGTCTTCATACATATCAACGTCCCCTGCGATACACACACACACGCGCACACACATACATATATGTATATATACATACACATATATATATATATATATATATATATATATATATAAATGCATGTGTATATATACATATAATGACCCCCCCGTCCTCCACTTCCACTCCCTCCTCCTCACCGCCCCTCCTCCTCCGACCTCCTCTCGTCCTCCTCCACCTCCCCCACCCCCCCCTCCTCCTCCTCCTCCTGCCTACTCCCCCCCCCCCCCCCCCCCCCCCCCCCCATCCCCTCATCGCCTGTCACCGTCGCCCTCCCATCCTGCTCTGATCCCCCCGCAGAGAGGAAGCGAGCTCCTTCATCTGCTCGTCGGACAGGGTCGCGTCGTCCATGTGGTCGTCAGCTTCGCCTGGGCCGACGAGGGGGGAAGGGGGGCTGTCCGCGCGACGATGGTGCACAATGCAACTCGGGCGCGCCGTTCATCGGAGGGGGGGCCGAAGGTCGAATGGGGGATGACGCCGACGACGAAGACGAAGACTCCGACGACGACGACGACGACGGCGACGACGCCAGTGCCGTCGTCGTCGCCGTCGCCGTCGTCGCCGTCGTCGTCGCCCCACCCCGTGCTTCCCAAAATGCTGGCCTTCGCCACTGTCGTCGTCGCGACCGTGTGGCACAGGCTCGGGATTGTCATCTTGAAGAGGAACAGCAGGGGTCAGCTGAGGGCGGCCGTTGGTTCCCTCTACTCTACTCCTAATCCCATGCGTGCCTTCCATCTTACGCCCTATGTATAGTTCCCCTATGTCTGTACCTCACCCCCTCTCTCTCTATATATTCATCGGATCTCCTATCTACATAGATATGTATACATATCTTACAGGTCATACAAATCCGAATATACAATCTCCCCACTATACCAAGTATAACTCCATCCCTCTGTATATATCGTTGTATCCCCTGGTGCATCCTCGACACCTCCCTCTTACCTGATAGGCCTACCTCCCATGTTTTGCACGCCCCTGTGGTGTTCATCCTCCTCCTCCCCATCGCCCTCCTCGTGTCATCCTCCTCCTCATCGCCATCCTCATCTCCGCCCCCCCGTCGCAACACCTTCGTTACCTCCTCATCGTCATCCCCGTCGGCATCCTCACACATCCCCGTTCTTAGCACCCCCAACCCATTCAGGGGCACCCGCAGGGAGATCAGGAAGAGGATGAGGGGAGAACGCGGAGGAGGATGATGAAGGAGGAAGAGGAGCACGGGGGAAGGGGTGCTGGCCAGGCGAGGAGGCGGAGGATGAGATGAGGGAGGAGGGCAGTAATGGTGGGGAGGAGGAGGGGAGAGAGCTTACACGCGCACATACACAGGCACACGCGCGCACAGACGTCGCGCACGCACACGCATTCACGCGTGCGCACACACGCGTCAGACACGACGAAAACGCTGCCTCCTCGGCAGAGCTCGGCGACGCCGATGGAGGGGCCGAAGACGGGCGCGCCGTCGGTGGCCGCGGGAATGATGATCGACGCGGCGTGCTGTGTCGCGGGGGGGGGGGCGCTCAGATAGGCTTGCCCTCTTCCATCCACCTCTTCACCCTCATCCACCGTGTCATCACCCTCATCCATGCCCTCAGCGTGTACATTCCCGATGTTCACCCTCCTCCGCATCATCGCCCCACTCCCTGCACCACGGCAAATCCTCTCTACTGCGACCGACATCCTCATCCCCTCCTCCGCCAGCCTCCGCTCCGTCGGCGTCGCCCTCGCCACCCTCATGCCAATCGCCTCTTACATTGCCCGCTCGCGCATCATCTGCGCAAATATGT